AAGTGAATTCACAATTAGCTCCTAAAGATACTTTGCATTGTAAGAAGTATAATGTGTGCCTAATGGATCTTGGTTCATTCTGCTGCTCAGATCACATTTGGGAAGTTTACTTATGGGCCCTGAGTTTTTGAGTTATTTTTTGTTTGTTTTTGTTTTGAGGCAGTTACACTTTGTCGCCCTGGGTAGAGTGCCATAGTGTCATAGCTCACTGCAACCTTAAACTCCTAGGCTCAAGCAATTCAGTTGCCTCAGCCTCCTGAGTAGCTGGGACTACAGGTGCCTGCCACAACACCCAGTTATTTTTTAGAGACGGGGTCTCGCTTTTGCTCAGGCTGGTCTTGAACTTGTGAGCTCAAGCAATTTACCCACATCAGCCTCTGAGAGTGCTAGGATTATAGGCGTGAGCCACCACACCCAGCCCTGGGCCCTGAGTTTTAAGAGACTACATTGGCAAACTAGACTTACTGGAAGAGGTCAACCTTGGTAGGAGAGAATCTCATGTTTCACATGGAACAAGGAAAGGATGGTGGTTAGCAAAGGGAAGTAGGTGATAGTGTATTCTCTCAGAAAAAAATTATTTAAGGCCAGGTGTGGTGGCTCACACCTGTAGTCTTAGCTACACGGGAGGCTGAGACAAGAGAGTTGCTTTAGCCCAAGAGTCTGAGGTTGCTGTGAGCTAAGACACCACAGCACACTACCAAGGATGACAAAGCAAGACTCTGTCTCAAAAGAAAAGAAAAACTATTATTAAGTGTCTCCTTTTTCTTTCTTTCTTTCTTTTTTTTCCTTTTGAGACAGAGTCTCAAGCTGTTGTCCTGGGTAGAGGGCCATGAGATCACAGCTCATAGCAACCTCAAACTCTTGGGCTTAAGCAATTCTCTTGCCTCAGCGTCGGAAGCAGCTGGGATTATAAGTGCCTCCCACACCTGCCTATTTTTTTTTATTGCAGTTGTCGTTGTTTTCGCTGGACCTGGGCCAGATTCGAACCCACCAACTTTGGTATATGTGGCTGGTGCCCTACCCACTGAGCTGTGGGCGTCACCATTTTTTTTCTTTTTTTTTTTTGAGACAGAGTCTCTTTCTGTTTGGTCGGGCTATAGTGCCATGGCTTCAGTCTAGCTCATAGCAACCTCGAACTCCTGGACTCAAGCAATCGTCCTGCCTCAGCTTCCCAAGTAGCTGGAGCTATAGGCAGGTGTCCCATGCCCAGCTAATTTTTCTATTTTTAGTAGAGACAGGATCTTGCTTTGCTCCGGCTGGTTGAACTCCTAAGCTCAAGCGATCCTCCCATCTCAGCCTCCCAGAGTGCTGGGACTACAGGTGTGAGGGCCACCATGCCTGGCCATTAAGTGCCTTCTTCATTCTGGAAATACAGCAATGACCAAGTCATAAATGATCCCTACTATCCTGAAAATTATAGTTAATTGGTAAAGACAAACAAGTCATTAGAATCTTGGGTACAAATAATAGGTAACTCTATTTAACTTTCAAATATTTGAAAGATTATTGCTTGGAAGAAGAAACAAACTTATCTAGAGAACATACTTGGGACTTTGGTAGAAGTTACAGGAAAGATGACATGGGTTTGGCATAGCAAGCTATCCAGCAACTAGAATTTTCCACATGAGGCATTGACTTCCTCACAACTAAAGATACCTAGCAGTGCCAGTCAAAATGTTTACCTGGCTCTGTCTTCTGCTTTATGTATATTATCTCATTTAATCTTCATAGTACACTAAAACTTGGTTATTTTTATTACTCAATTTTACATTTAAGGAAGCTGAGGCCCAGAAAGGTTAAATAACTTATGTCCGCTCAAAGAGATAATAAATGATGGGAGCCGGAATTCAGAGCCAGGCAATCTGTCTCCAGAGCCCATGGTCTTAAAGACTGTGCCATACTGCTGCTACTTAAAAATAACCATAGTAGCTACCATTTGTTTGTTGCTGATTTTGTTTTTTTTTTTTTTGGGACAGAGTCTCACTATGTCACCCTTGGTAGAGTGC